ACACACATGCACAGATAGGTAGATTTTTGTGTATATCAATCATTTAATTACTTTTGACACGTTTGCATTGAAGTTATTGTGATTTAATTTTGAATTATTAATAATAAGTATATATATCTGAAATTGGATGTTTTGTATAGCCACATGACTACCTACTGATTTGGAGTGGGACTTAATCTCGAAAATAAAATAGTTAAAATAGTTAAACCATAAGGTCTATGACATTTTTTAACTAAGTTTTTGAAGGTGGAGTAAGTAAGTCTTATTGTTTTTCAAGTAATTCTGATTAGATGAAAAACAATCACCATGTTGATGTTGGTGATAACGATAATAATGAAAATGATTTATGAATTATTGTACAAATTCACTGTTGCAGGTATGAATTCAGGTGATGGTGGTGGTGGTGTTGGTGATAATACAAGATTGTGTGTTGTTTCAGCCGACCTTCAGCATACTTTTTGGCGTGTGGGTGTGTGTATGTGTGACGCTCAAAGCAGACCATCTTTCGAGCGAAAGGTGAATCGAAAAGGACGAGTTAGGAGTGTTACCGAGGGTGATATGGAGGAGATCGTAGGAGTGTGGGGTGGAACCTGCTGAAGAGGACTGCAGGGAATAGGACAAAATGGAGGTGTTCTGTAGACTGATAGAAGGAACCACTCATTGTCTCAAATAGTTCACTTCTTGTCAATACCTCTATGTTTGTCTGTTTAATAAGTTTGAGCACCTAATAAAGAATTCTGATTACTTCATGGCCATGTAAATATACTCTTCATTTATGAATTGTAAGGGGGGGGCATAAAAGTATATAATAAATAATTGTCTATGCAGTACGTCAGTGGCACAGCGGTAAGATGCTCGCCAACCACGCCTCACGTGGTTCGAAGTTCGATCCCCGGCAACCGATACACTCCCAAACCTCTCTAAGCCAGTGATAAGACTTGTAAAGATGGAAGGTTGGGCATGAGGCTAGCAACTCCATCTCGTAGAAAATAAACACCACTGCTACTGAGACTTCAAAGCTCTAGCTTGAAGAAGCCCTATATTCCACTGGGAGCGTAAGGGAATAGAAAATTGTTATTCAAGTGTTGGTTTGTAGAGATTTGATTGGTTACAGGATTTCATCATGAGCTGATATTAGTTAGAGAACCATTAGAAAACCAGCTAGGAGTACTGGAAAGCTGTTCCGTCAGCCTAGTTTGGGATTCTTCAGCAGTACACACCCACCACCAGGGTTCGAAGTCAGGACCTTCTGGTTACAGGTCTAGCGAACTCGTAGACCATTTGGCCACTGGGACCCGATCCAATGGCCAGCCCATGAATTCTAACTTCTGTCAGTTCACGACATAGCGCCACCCCTAGGTACTGTTTATACAATGATAAGATATTTTTTTCACTGCAATCTGATTGCATTTCTTTTCTGTAATTTTCTGTCTGGTGTAAAGTCAGTATAAGTTTTTCAACTGTGTGATAATGTATGGGGGTGAAATAAAGTAATTTTACTGCAGACAATGGTTATTTGACTTTGTGATTATTGCATTCCTGTCCCTTTGGGTTCCGAGTGCAACATAGGGTTTCAACAACACATCTCCACTTTATTCTGTTCTCTGATTTCTTCTCTAGCTGGCCCCACAACTCCTCATAGTCTCTCATCTTCTCTTTCCACAAATCTTCTCCATATCAATTTCCAACTCCCCACTTGTCTTTTCCCATTCGGTTTTCACTCAAGTGATGGCTTAGTGCACGATATCATTCGACTGTGTAAATGTGAGACAGAAATTTTTTGTGGAGGGATGGATCAATAAGGAATTAGTTGTGAGTAGAGGTCGCTCATAGATAGGATGCTCTCCAGCCATGCCTCGTGTAATTTTGGTCCGATCCTCTGCCGACACAGTATTAAATCCCACCTATCTTGTATTTAGCCCCGATAAGAGGGATGATTGGTTGGCAGACTAGCAATCTCATTCCGTAAAAAAAAAATAAGTGCTATTAAAATTTCATAAACTTTAGGCCTGAAGCTTTGTGTTCCACTCAGCATGCAGCGGAATTAGAAAAAGAGGACTTGAATATGTGAATGCACAGCTTTTTGTATGTTATTTGATGCAATCAGCTTAGTTGGATATTACTTTATTTGAAAAGTGAATAATAATGTATGAAATACAAATGATTTCCCCACGCGTGTATTTTGATTGTTATTTGTTAATGGGCATATTCTTATATGATTAACTTTATGTCTTCCTCAGTAAAATACAGCCAGCGTCATCCATAGCGAGTATCGGTCCTCACACCCGACCAGATGTACTCCACTGATCATGACTTCTTCTCACTAGAACCGATGTCAGCTCATGATGAAATCCTTTTAACAATAAAATCTCTGTAACCAATCTGATGCTCACTGGCGACTGGCTCTTTTCAGGTAGGCAGTTACTTGGGTTCTGGTGAGAAGTCGAGATCATTAGGGTACAGAAGGTCAGGTGTGAAGACAAATACTCACTAATATCATGAATTGGCAGAAGTTAGAATTCATGGGCTGGTCATTGGATCGGGTCCCAGTGGCTTAATGGTCTACCAGCTAGCTCGCCTTGTAACAAAATGGTCCTGGGTTCCAACCCCGGTAGGTGCGTACTGTCAAAGAATCCGAAAATAGGACAAAACGGCTGTCCAGTACTCCTGACTGGTTTTCCAATGGTTCTATAACCAATGTCAGCTCATGACGAAACCCAGAAATGTTTTATTTCTACTTTTTCTGTCTCACCTCACCCTCTAAAATCCTTTAACTAACAGTGTTTATACCTTACGTTTGTCACCGTCGTCAATTTTATTTATCCCCTTACTATTATACGAACGGTGTAAAGTTATTTATTTATGTAACGCGTCTAACAGTTCACATAAATGTTTATTTATTTAAAAAAAAACTATTGGCGAAGTGAAATTTTAATAAGCACCAAAATGAAGCAATGGAGGACAAACAACCTTGTACGCACCAGTCACATGAGAAAAGCAACTTTTACGCATGAAATACAATTAATTTATAAAAAGTAATGAATTAGAAAGGATGTAACTATTATTACATGGGATAACTTTCTCTGCTGTGTGGCAAAATCGACTCCCGATTCCTTCATAGGAGTATCAATAAGGAAGTTAAACCAAATTCTATTAGATCTGTTCATGTAAATAGTTGTAAATAGTATTCCTTTGACATCCATTCCTGGCTGTAATCCTATTCCTCAATCTTCCTCAGAAATTCCTTCCACAGAATTGGTGTGTGTGGCACCTGGAATAGGATCCATAAATTCATTAGAATAGTTGACTGTATGGTGATTATATCCAAGGGGTGATGGATCCTTTCCGTAAAGTGGTATCGTAAAATCCAAACGTTATTTGTTTTTTTTTCACGAACCCAGGTTGTATTTCTTCTTTATAAGGACTGTTTCGTCTATGCCTACAACAAAACCTTCTCCTCTCAATCTTCCAAAATGTAATATAGCCTCACTGGTGTTACCATTGAACATTCGAGACGAGACTATTCCCCCTCCCCCCCGTTCCTGAAACTGTAGCTGTCACAGCGTGTTTTAAAAGCCAGTAACTACAAATATACATGACAAATAAAAAAATAAAAAAATTCACAACAGGAAGGGCAGCGACAACAACAACAAAACCTGTCACTGTCAAAAACAGTTAAAAAAAGTGATATCAAAACCATAATAGACTCAGTGACTTGGGTCAACTTGGGGATGTAGATCCAAATATATATATATATATATATATATATATATATATATATATATAATTGTGGATATTAATTAGGGTTCAACAGTCACAAAATGTCAAACAGATAGTGTTATAATAGGTATTATCAGTCAACAAGATTATAGCCGCACATTCAGTGTTCAAAGGTTATGTATGACTAATTACAATAAATTCCACAACTTTCTGGCCAGAAACATCAGAGAAATGAGAGATTTATGTGACTACTAGATAAACGAAGCTTACTAATCGAAAAGCGCATCCTTCATGACAAATATTTCGATGAAACAATATATAATCATTAGCTTACCATTTCCCTCCCCATGCTAATTCATTTCAAATAAACTTTACAACGGTGAAATTGTCTATCAGCAGATCCACTGAAGCCTTTTTTGTATACTCATAGTACTTCTACAGGAATAAATTCTTCCCTTTCCTATCAATCCCATAACTAAACAACACTGGAGCACTTCGTCTACACCAGATTTTAGATGTTAATCCCCTACAGTAGGTATTTTCTCGGAATCAAGCGGGATAAAACTTTGAACTCACACACTTGAGGAATCTAATTAGTTCATTCATTGGTGTGGTCATTGGTGTGGTTGTACACCGTTGGTACATTTTAGTGCTTGAAATTTAAACTTCGCCAAAATCATTTTTCTCATGCAATGGTGCTTTTTCTAAATTGAAAAAATCCTTTCAGCTTTGTGAGTACGCTCTACAAGTAACTATCTTAAGCAAACTGATTTACCTAATATATATGCACCTATTTTATTTTTATACTTTCTTATACAGGAGATGTGCTCTTGTTCTTCTTCTCTTCGTGTGATTACGTGTATATATATGCGAATTCTTTATCACAGTTATATTAATACCTTCATATACTATCTATCAATCTACTGTAATTGCACAACTTATGCCTCGATGTAATATGCAACGCAATATCGCTCTCTCTCTCACTTTCTGATTACGTTTAGATTGATTTATCGGTGTTATTTAAGATATCTAATGCCTCATTAATGCTATTTAACTGTGATATTATGAATGAATTTTCATTCTCCTTGTTTTAAAACAAGCGATATATATATATTCTAAAGAAAGGCACTGTTATACCGTATATATATATATATATACTAACATTATGCGGTTGCTTAAACTCACTTCAATTTTATGTCGTATATATTTGAGCTGTATTCTTCCTGATTTTATACCTACATCGTTTCAATTGTTGGTTTTTCATTTAATTTTTTTTGTAGAACGAATTCCTGATACTGTTGTTGAACAACCGTGTGAAGAAGATCAACTTGATAGTTTGAAAACATCACCTGCTACTAAAGAGAAAAAGATCATGTAAGATTTTGTTGAATTCGTTAAAATTAAGAGCATCAATATTTAGCAAGGAAACTTGCTTCAACGAGTTTATTATCAAGCTGAACAATCATATATATATATATATATATATATATATATATGCATATGGTGTTTATTTTTAAAAGAAATTATATCCTGTGAAGAAATTTAAACAAAGGTATAGAGAATATTTACTTCAATTTGAACTTTCCCGATGATTGACTGGACCGAAGTGTTCGGCCTCAGGTTGACATATCGGCTTCTTTTGCAGATGCTTCAACGATTTCTGAGAATTTAACCTGAAGGAATTCGATGGGTGATGGCTAAAAGTAAAATTCATCAGGATGCGCGTTTCAGCTGTCCTATTAAGGACTCGTCGTCTGCTTGGATGTTTTATTTATTTATTTAAAAACCTTGGCACAATATGGCACCAAGAAGGATGCGTCACACAATAATAATAAAACAATATAGATTAAAAGTAAAAATATAAGTAGAGAACGGATAAAGAACTTCATCTGGAAGGAAAACAGTCGTGCTTAACAAGTTCAAACAGTATTCGTCAACTGTCATCGAGAAGAGAAGAAGGAAAGAAATTGCAACACAGTCGCCATTGATTACGATTCTTGGCCATATCCGATAACGTTTTGAGCCATTGATTCGAGCTGTCTCGCAGACCCCAACCAGGGAGTCGTGATACACCAACCGATGCTAATCTAGCAAAAACATCCTTCATCCCACGACGTGACGTCACGGACTGACCACCTCTCCGCCTTTTCCATCCTGTTCCAGGGCTAGCGAACAGAGACCTGTACGGAAGCCTCTGGGATGACATTCACAGCACATGTCCAAGCCACCGGAGCCGATGTTTTCAGATGATGACGATACTCAATGAATGGTGATCTTCACTGTGTTCAATAAACACACGCCGCCGAACCTCAGAATCGCTCATGCGATGATTTCATCGAACGCAAGCAATCCTGCGGAGACAGCGATGATCGAACACGCAGAGTTGCTGCACATCCTCAGCCTACTTGGAGAGGCCAGGCTTCACAGGCATAGAGCAAAACAGCCCGCATCGAAGCATTGTATACCCGACCTTTGTCAGCCAGGCTAACATCGCGACGGCGCCAGAGGGGTGGCTCAAGTTGATGTATGCGCCATCCTAGCCTTCATTATACGGTTGGAGATCTCATCCGTCACTCCTCCGCCAGCACTCACACAACTACCCAGGTACACAAACTTATCAACAACTTCAAGCGGTTCACCCGCAAGAGTGAATGCAGGTACAGGCTCCTGCTAATCTTGTAACAGTACTTTGTACTTAGACGGCGCAAAGTACATACCATACTTACAGACATGATAGAGAAGATTTGTAGCTCAGGTGGATGATTTTGATGTGGTTTTGTTCTCTGAGCTGGATGGTTAGTTTGCGAAGCTTTCATCACCTTACTGGGTGACATCTTCAGCGCATACTTCAATTTGAAGTGAGATTTTAGATTTCTCCACGAGTTTATTAATCATCTCTCCTGGTGACCTTGGACGTGATTGGTTGTTTGTGTGTGTTTTCACACCTTCTAGGTTACTTGCATTGGAACCGGTTGTTTCTTTGATTTGAACTTTGACCCTTTGTGTATGAAGTTTCTTTCTTATTGGTTGATAACTTTTGTCTATCTCGATGTGTCTATTGATTGATGATTCACTGGAATGCCAAGCTTCTAAAAATTCTCTAGCATTCTTGTTATTTCCTTTGTCTAATATTTGAACGTTGTCCCAGTCGAATTGATGTCCGTAGTTGTCTGTGTGTAGTGAAATGAGGGAGTGGATATCATGTCTTTTGACGGCTAGCTTATGTTCGTGGATACGAAGACGAAGGGGCGTCCACTTTGGCCGATGTAGTGTTTTTCGCAGTTGTTACAGTTTATTTTGTAGATGATGTTGGTTTTGTCTTCTTTCGCTGTTGAGTCTTTTGGTTGACATAGAATTGAGTGCAGCGACTTTGTTGGTTTGTGTACGACGTCAATTCCTAGAGGTTTGAAGAGTCTTGTAGTGATTTCTGAGATATCCTCTAAATATGATAAGGTGATTTTCTTTGTGCTTTCCTTGGTTGGGGCTTTTGCTTTGGTAGGTTGGCTTGGGTGTTTATGTCTCTTGATAAAATTCCGTGGATATCCATTCTTTTGGAAGACGTCCATGAGATACTTTTCTTCAATTTTCCTTAAGGTGGGAGTGCTGCAGTGAGTCCTTGCTCTCTTGAATAGTGTTTGTATGCAATTCCTTTTGTGTGTTATTGGGTTGTTGCTGTTGTAATTTAGGATTTGGTCTGTGTGAGTTGATTTCCTATAAACTTGAGTTTCTAATTCTCCTGTAGTTGTTCGCCTGACTAAGACGTCCAAAAAGATGATTAATAAACTCGTGGAGAAATCTAAAATCTCACTTCAAATTGAAGTATGCGCTGAAGATGTCACCCAGTAAGGTGATGAAAGCTTCGCAAACTAACCATCCAGCTCAGAGAACAAAACCACATCAAAATACTTACAGACACTGATCGCCAACTGATTAAGTGCGATTTGGGCAGCCTGCATGCTATCGCACAGTAAGACGATATCGTCTGCATACTTGAGGTCGAAAAGTCTATCTTCAGGTAGCAGATCTACACCACCTTCACGCACATCCTTCAGAGCTGACTCCAGAATGTTATCGATGGCAAAGTTAGAGAGAAACGGGCAACTCTGTCTAACCTCACTGTTGGTTGGGAACAGTGATGATAGTTGGTTTTACCTAGTGAGTGATGGCGGTCCCACTGAGGCTTGAATACATAACATAATAGTGTGAAATACAATTAAAATGTTTGTGATTATCACCATAGTTAAATATCACGTGTCAAATGACAAAACCAATTATTTCATATATATAAAACAGTTCACAAGATGTAGAGATATTAGAAATGGGCGTATACTTATAAGAGTAGTAGTCAAATATGCAAAGTTATATGTAGCATGATGTGAAATTCTCTAGGATAGAATTCAACATTACAAAAAAGAAAGCATTTTGATTTAGAATGACAAGTGGGGAAAGTGAAATAATACCGGAAACAGTTCAAGGTGAGTATAGTAATAGTAACAGTAATAATAATAATAGTTGTAGTAATAGTGGAAACCTATGTTAGTTAAATAAATAAATAAATGTATATCCCTCTATGGCGATGACAGAAGTGGGAATTGAACGTATTAATTTATTAATGCCAAGAACTGGCTTGAATTCATCAGTGGCCAAGACCTCCTTTGTCTTTAGAATTTTATGACGAAGAAAACGCGGCAAGTTAGCATGAATTCAGCAGGTGATGCCAACATTATGGTTGGGGTTGGTAGATTGACGGAAATCGATCAAGTGTTCTAGAATAAAGCTTCACCTGCTCTTCCTTTCTTCCTTGTAAAACCATGATGTTTGAATATATTCTCGTATCCGTGTGGAAAGAAGCATCTCGGGCTATGGCCAATATACCTTGTTCTACAAGAACAGGGTAACTGATGGAAATGCACATCTATACACCCTATGACCTATCCTATATATGCGATTATTTGTGTTGCCACTTGACACTTGATGTTCAACTATCATTGTAGCCACAAATATTTTATTTGCATCTCATACGATTTTATTATTCTAAGTATTCATACGGGATATATAATTTGTTAGAAAGCCAAGTATATATTCGATTGTACAGGATGATAATAAACTCGTTGAAGCGAGTCTCTTTGCTGAATATTGTGTGTTCTTATTGTTACAATGAGAATTATTTAATTAATTATTTGAATTATTTGACAGTAGCTCATCGGTTGATTGGGTTTCAACATCATAGAAGTTTGTACGGAAGTGCAGCAGTTCAAGCCGCCACACACACAAACAGGTAGACGAAAGAAAGGAAGGGAAGAAATGAGATTCAAAAGAAGTTCGAGCTGCAGAAATTTTACTTGAGAAAGAATAGTGGCATGGAAAAACGAGTGAATGCATCAGTGCTATCGAGAAAGGTTTTGAGCCGTTTCACCAATTTATTAATCATTATTATATCCTTTAATTCCTAGAGGAACATAGGGCTTCAGCCGCCCAAGTCTCCATTGCCTTCGGTTTTCTGTCAACTTTTTCACCCCGCTCCAAGTCTGCCCACATGCTTTCATCTCCTCCTCACATGACCTCCTCCAAGTCACCCCAGCCTCGCACTGACGACTAACTCGCTGCTTCCCTTTCGGCCTGGTTCCAATCGAGCAATGGCTTGTCTAGTGATGTCACTTGATGGTTTGTTTTCTAACAGTATGGCCAATCCATCTCCATTTCTTCCTGCCTATTTGTCTGACAATCGGCTCCTGCTGGGTTGGTTCGCTCATTGCCAGAGATCCTGTTGGTGATCTTTTCTGGCCAGCCTTATGATCTTGAGTGGTATTGAGCGAAGACAACTGTTAATGTGAAGGTCTGAAGTTTGTTTGAGATGCTCTTTATGACGCGCTGGCCAAGTCTCTGATCCGTACAGTAAGTAGCACTGACTTCACGTTGGAGTTGACAATCTGGATCTTATTTTTCATGCCGAGTAGGGAGGGCTGTTGACCTCCACACAGACTTGAGAATAATGAAAGCTTGTCTTACTTTTCCAATCCTCGCTTTGATATCTTCATCAGTTCCGTCGGCCTGTAGTTGAAACGATGCTTTCCAGGTGGGTAGGTAAAGGAGGTTGTTTCTCTCAGATTCCTCCCATTTATGCTGGCTGATTAATGTCTGTTGTTGTTGCTGCTGTTGGTGTTGGCCAGGAATCTTCATCACCTACCTCTGTTTTCTCTGTGTTCACTTGAAGTCCTATCTTTGATGCTTATTCCGCCAACTTTTTGCTGTTCACTTGCATATCTTCCAGTTTGTGGGAAACCACACTTATATCGTCATCAGCGAAGTCCAGATCCTCCAAGTGTTTTGTGTGAGTCCATTTTATGCCTGTTTCCTCATTGCCCACTGTCTGTCGCACTATCCAATCTACTGCGATCAGGAAGACCATTGGTGATAGTAGACAGCCTTGTTTCACTCTCGTCCTCACTTCGAAGGATTCCGTAAGTTTCCCATTGTGGATTACTTGGCATGCGGCATTGACACCAATAATCTGCAGTTAATTGGATCTTAGAATCATGAGGACCCCAATGTGGCAGCCTCCCTTCATGGTTTACACCTAGTAATCGAAGACTTCATGGTCTACTGCTTCCATGCATGCTTTGCTTTGATGACCCCAGTAACTCTTTGCCAACCGAACCAAGCCCTGTGTCAGCCTGACACTGTTCGTCAAGAAAGGCTGTGGTTCAGCCTGCACACGTACACGTCTCCTAACCATCTTAATCTATAATGACTTTGCTGTAAAATCAAGAAATACTTTCTCCTTTGTCTAGCATTATCCAATTGCTTTTCTTCGTGTGGATTGACATTTAGCTTTGTTTTATTTAAAAAAAAATCTTTTTAAGTGTTTCTTGTGTCGAATTCATGAAAAAATATGTAGATTATTTTGTAGCGAAGTAATATATCATATTTCTGTATGCTAAGATTGTGACGACAAATCTCAGAATAGTTGGTTTTTGTAGATGTTTTGAATTACTGTTTAGAAAATAGTATATATATATCATTCATCTATGTCGAGAATAAAAATAATGCCTCTAAATGAGACCTTATGCTTCAAAAGTTTCTGTTAATCTCTGTTTAAGAATGTGATACTGCATTGCATACTTTTATTCCACATAATACTTAGTTTTGCAACCTGTTTCTAAAGAGGTAAAATACAACTATACTGCTTAGATTGATATTACCGTTCAATAATAATAACAATAAATGTTTTAAGTTTGATCATGGATTGATATCGTTTAGAGAAGCCTTGGAAACAAGCACGTTGTATTGGACAACTATTTCGTCCCATTTCGGGACTCATCATCAGTACGTACCCATCAACGAATATTTGGCATGCGATTCTCTCCCGCCAAATGTAAGATGATGTTACAGGACTGACTGGACTACGCTGACTCCTAGTTTAGAAATATGGAGTGAAGTGGTTGAGCACATTGACCGCTTCACTTACTTGGGAAGTACTATCAGCCAACGCCAACGGGTTGATCTCTGACGAAATCTCAGCACATATACAGAAGGCTAGTTTCGCATATGCCAGTTTACGCTGTCTCTGACCTTAGACGTGATATCCGGCTATTGACCAAAGGGCGAGTGTACTGCTCATCAGTCCGCTCCGTCCTCCTTTATGACTGGCTATGAGACCTGTCCACTGAGAGTGGAAGACATGAAAAGATTAGCTGTCTTTGATCATAGGTGCCTGCGTTCTATTTCCCGTGTGAAGTGGTATAATAAGGTGAGCAATATTGAGGTTAGGCGTCGGGTTCTGGGTAAGCAGGGGAATTCAATCGACGAGGCTGCGCAGTTACATGGACTGAGATAGTTAGGACATGTGTTAAGTATGCCTAGTCATCGCCTTCCTCGATAGTGGGCAATGTTAGCGGATATAGGGTCAGGCTGGAAAACAGCTAGTGGCGGTCAAGCAAAAACGTGGGACCAGTCAATGATATCCACAACAGTTAGTTTAAGCCAGCCACGTAGGGAGATGTAGACGTCCTGGTTGGGGTACTCGGGACGGTAAAAACCAATGAAGGCTGGAGACAATTGGTGACATGGCTCAAATTCGTTCTCAGTGGCGAGATGCATCCACTTCTTGTGACTTATGATTTCCAATGAAACTATACTGTTCTTCGTTATTACTATTCCATTGTCTCACACCTCTGTTTACTGTCTCTATTATGCATTTCTTCTACTTTGTTGTCTTGCTTTGTGTGCTACATGTGGGGAGTGTGGCGACTTGAACTGTTGCACATATGTGCAAAGTTCTATGTCGAAAAGAGACAGATGTACCTATCACCATAGTTCAATGGCATTACCTTCCAGTTACAAAGCAAGCTCGTCAGTATAGTCTGCGAAACGGGGTCCATCTGGTCGGGAGTCAAGACGAATACTCTCCAGTGGCACTGGTTTCTAATCGCTCTAAAATAACGAATTGGTAGAAGTTTAATTTTTGTGATGGATTGCTGAATGGTCTCCTAGCTTTCCTTGTAATCTGAAGATTCTGGGTTTGAACTCTGGCGGCAGTGGGTCGGTACTGTCGATGAATCTTAAACTAGGAGGAGACAACTGTCCAGTACTCCTAGGTTTTCTAATGGTTCTGTAAACAGTATCCCTCAGTGATTATCAAACTTGAAACAAGCGAAATCCCCGCAAACAAACTCTTGAAGATAATAAATGTTTTAAAAAGAATTTGTATGTACGTTGACTAAATTACTGTTATTAGTGATGGTTCCCTGCATTCGGAGTGAGGGAAAATTGGCTTTCAGCAGCGTATTTCCCTGCTGTTATTTTCAACCGGCTCCATAAGTTTTTATTTCCTTTCCATATGATCTTCATGTCAGCTTTCGACTCGAAGCTCTTCTCTTCCCATTTGAGTTCTAATCGACGTCCTAATGGGGTGTCATGTCACTTATTGTTGATCTGTTCAGAGTATTTTCAACTCCTTCTGAATATTTGTTGGCTGGTTAGTTGCCTGCTGGAGTTCTTTAATATTCTCCCTTTCCCGATGATGGTCATATGATCTATGACATTGAGGCGGTGAAGAAAGGGGTTTTGATGAAATTTTGCAGTGGCCTGTTAGGGATGCTCTAGGTGACGCGCACTTGCCTCCTTGTTCGGTTACAGGGTTTCATCATTAGGTGACATCGGTTACAGAACCATTGGAAAACCTGGGAGTACTAGATGGCTAATTCGTCCTAGTTTGGGACTCTTCAGCACTACGCACCCACCGCCAGGGTTCGAATCCAGGACTTTTATGTTACAAGAAGAGCTCGTAGACCATTAAGCCACTGGGACCCGATCCAATGGTCAGCCCATGAATTCCAACTTCTTGTTCGTTATGTTAAGTGAATGCTGTAGATCCTTCACATGGCTTCCAAAGTATGTGAATACCTGTTTTGTATTCCCCGTCCTGACTAGCTTTGATATTCTAATCTGTGCCACCACCTGTAATTGAAAGGAGGTAAATGGAACAGACGAATTCCTTTAGATTTCTCCCCATAAAGGTGGGGGATGATTGCTGTTTGTTGTTACTTTTTGACACGTATTTTCATCATCTCTGTCTTATATTGATCCACATGAAGTGATTAGCCATTTTTTACCGTAGGTGTCTTCACTCAATTTCTCGTATGAGGGTGCGGGATTCAATGGGACTGTGCTTAGAATGTTAAGTTAGAAGGCAAAGTCATTCAATGAAGTCGTGGAAGCTGCATCGATTGAGTAATGTTCACTGACATAACAGGATTAGTTTGAAAGAGAGTTAGAGGTAATGAAACCAAAACATAGAAGGCATCAATCTTTGACTGTTGATATGAGTCACATGAGGAGATGTATGCTGTCTAGCTGGAGTCCTCGAGACACTTAGGAATCAATATACAAAGACTATTGGTGGTATGATTTAAAGTTGTTGCTGATAATGCAGATGTATGCACTCCTTGTAAACTTTCAGATTCTCAATATCATCATTATTATTTTATTTAGTTATGCTGTTTTTAATGTTATCATAATATTATGATTGTTCCCTTGGGTTCCAAGAGGAATTTAGAACTTTAACAGCAAGTCTCCAATTTGTTTTTTTTTCTGCAGTCCTCTGTAGCTGAACCGACGTCTTTCACCTCCTACTCGCACGATCTCCTCCACGTCACCCTCGTATGATACACTCGTCGTTTCCCATTCGAGTTCCAATCGAGGCATCGCTTGTCGTGTGATTTCATTTGACGGTTTCCTCAGATTGTGCTCAATCCCTCTCCATTTTCTCCTTGGTTAGCCTATTCCCATAGTTACTAATTTTTTCTGGGCTGTTTGATCTTCTTTATGGAGCCAGCGAAACGGACAGCCGTTGATAAAGTCTGTAACCTGTTGGAAATGCTTTCCGTGGCGTGCATTGAAAGTTTCTGATGCGTATATTAGGACCGACTTCACATTTGTGTTGAACAAAATCCGAATATTGTTCTTTAAGCTTGCTGACTGAGTGACAGCAGAAGATTTTCAAACTAGTTTCAGCTTGATGAAGGTGTATCTTGACCTTCCGATTCTGGTTTTGACATCTTCATCCCTTCCGACTACCTGTAGTTGAAACGATGCTTCCTAGATAAATGAACAAAGTAACCTCTGTCAAATTTCCTCCGTTGATGATGATTAGTGCTGTTTGTTGTTGCTGTTGGCTGGTTGTCTTCATGAACTCCGTCTTCCCTATTTTCACCTGCCGTCATGTTTTCCCTGCCAGCTTCTTCAGCCAGTTTGTTGCTTTTCACCTGTAAGTCTTCGAGTTTTTCTTGACATTAGATATACAACATCTACAAAATCCATATCTTCTAGACCCTCCCTATAGGCCCGACGTATTTCTGTCTTCTCAACCCCCCCCGTTGCACAGTCTTCTGCATAATCCAGTCCACCACAATTAGGAATATCATCGGTGATAATAGTCAGGCAGACAGCCTTGTCTTACTCATGTATTTGCTTCTAAAGCCTCGCTGAGTTTCCCGTTGCGGATCACCTGAAACGTGGCATTGTCATATAGCCAGCTGCTAAATGAGGTTGATAAAGAATTGCGACGGCACCGTAGTATTGATTTAGTTTCCAAATCATGTCTTGGCCAACACTGTCTGGTGAGGGCCTTTTTAAAAATCGATGAAATTGAGGTAGAGGTTTGACTTTAATATCTTCGGTACACCATTCCTTTTTATTCCTTCTTCCTTAATGTGTACAAGTTGAATGAAATAATGCACTTGTGCAAAGTTCTGTATTGATTAATTATTTATATCACAGCTAGTCAATATTTCACTATTTATATTGTTGATATTTTTAAAAAAAATGGAAACCAAGTGAAAGCAGCAGCAGTCAGTCAGGTGCTGAACAGAATTTGATTACTCAAGCTGCTGTAGAGTCATGGATTGAGCCGACAAAAATTGTTCAACAGATGGTTGAAATCGAATCAAAAGATATTCAGTCAGGAGGACCTGGCACACTTACAGAGGTAAATAACAGATATATACATTTTTATGCTTTTCTATCTTCCTTCCTTTAAGTTTTCGAAGCGGAACGTATGACAGCAACCTCTAGCTCTGCGGTTTCAATAGTGGTAATTTTTTGGAAGGGGTAGGGTTGCTTGTCCCATGTCAAACCTTTGCTCTTTATGGAACTCACTACTGACTGGTTACCCGAAGTTAATGATTACGTCGGTCGGAAATCGAATCCTGAACCACATGAGTGGTTCTACTTTTGGACCACTGGCACCTATATATGTATTATATAGGAAATTATTTTACTAGATGCATGCTGCGTACCTAATAACTTATAGCACGGAGGACAATTCAAACTTAACTTTACACCCCAAATGCTCATTTTCTCACATAAATAAACTTATAAAAATGGTCGTAGCATATTTATTGTTTCACATTCATGAAAGCTTTACAGTTTAGTATGAGGAAAAGCTTTAGGAGTCATTTACTGATATCGTTTTACTCTCATATTAGTAATGTTTGTTATTAACACTAATTTTTACACGTTTAACCAAGTAAGTTACCAAGGTGAATCCGTCTATTAAAATGAAGCCTTCAAACTTGTTTGGCAATACAACAAGATTAATCCCCCTCCTCCAGTCTTTGAAGTATTTCAAATCTAACAGTTGGGATGTTTAAGAGTACCTATGTAACGACAGAAGACAAGGGCCAGACAACAGATCGTTTATTTAGGAAATCAACATATATTTATAGATTTTCATGTACATTATTATAGATTATTGTAAGCAAACAAACACAGTCTTCTGATTGGTTGTTTCTCACTGAAAGTTAATCTTTCATCTCTTTATGGCTGTTTCTTGAACTTCAGAACATCTATATGCTAAGTGTATCCGCCTACGTAAAGCTGCTGTGACTGGTTGTTGAATCAGTCTTTGTTCTTGTTATTTTCTCATAACCAATATTGGGGACGTAACCACTGACGTAAATTACTGTCTACCCATTTTGGCTAGCAGCGAGCGCTTACCACGCATATTGTGCCTAAGTGATTTATCTGTGTGAAACACGGCATGCATTCAAGTTATGTTTACCTTTGTTTACAAGTATATACTACTGGTTGTTTGAGATATCGACTTCGGTGTAATGTTTGCTAACCAGCCAGCCAGCCAGCCAGATCGAGGGGATCTAAGCACACTACGGGACGGCAGTTCCACCAGTTTTAGGGTTGGTTGACCTCTTTGTCATCAGTGTATACCCAGTTTAACTCAGCCAAGGCAGATGGTCGAATTAGTTCAAACCAGCCTAAATCACATACAAAAAATTTCTAATTAATTCGTAGTTCGCCATTTCTACACTTCACCACAGTTTCCCTTTGAAACCAAATTATTCAGATCACCACAGTATGTGATCTGCTTGGTGATGTGAGCGGTAGTCAACAGGGTGGTTTAAACGGATTTAGCCATCTCCTTGAGCTGAGTCAAACTGAGTACACTGCTGTGGAGCTCTGACAACTCCAAACGAGCGAAATGGCCCCCCTCTGTCCCCTCGGTGTTTTCTTCGCTTTGGTCTGCCTAGTTAAGAACTACTAGTCGATATGGGTGGTTCGCAACTACTAGTCATCTCAGTCAATCAATCAGTAGTGGATAGTTCTATGCAGACATCATGCTTGCCCTCTTGACTGCCATATATGGCATGAAGCAGATCAAACACTTTGATTATCTGAGTAATTTTAGTTTCCAAATGAAACTATAGTGATAATGTCACCTGTTGAACCGTGTACATTGCAAATTATGAATTTTCAAGTATTGCTTTTGTAGGGATTTTGTTTGATTGTATGGAGGATTTCATCATGAGCTGACATCAGTTACAGAACCATCGGAAAACCAGCTGGGAGTACTGATTAGCTGTTTCATCCTAGTTTGGGACTCTCTAGCAGTACGTAGCCACCAGCAGGGTTCAAACTCAGGACCTTCTGGTAACAAGGCGAGCTGGCTCGTAGACCATTGAGCCACTGAGACCCGATCCGATGGTTCTTGAATTCTAACTTCTGCCAATTCACAACACAGCGCGACCGATTCGCAATGTCTTCTTCGATGAGTTACTGACTCATCTTTGACCTGCTGTATCCTACTGGTCACGGCTTCCCGCTAGAACCCCAGGTTAACTGCCTGAATAGGGTCAGTCGCTGGTGAGCATCAGATTAATTTTCAAGTACTGGTTTTGTAGGGATTTTGTGTTTGATTGTATGGAGGATTTCATCATGAGCCGTAATCAGTAGAGTACAGCAGGTTGAAGATGAAGCAGTAACTCATCGAAGAAGACATTGCGAAATGGTCGCGCTGTATCGTGAATTGGCAGAAGTTAGAATTCAAGAACCATTGGATCGGATCTCAGTGGCTCAATGGTCTACGAGCTAACTCGCCTTGTAATCAGAAGCTCCTGACTTCGAACTCTGGCGGTAGGTTATTGCTGATGAATAGTCCGAAACAAGGACGAAACAGCTGGCTGTCCAGTACTCCCAGTGGGTTTTCCAGTGGTTCTGTAACTGGTGTCAGCTCATGATGAAATTATCAATTTATTGCTTCACTGAGAGAAACGTCACTGCTTAATTCTTGTTGATTTCTGTATTATGATATGTTTTTCCCCCTGTCTCTCCCTCTCTCTGTGTCTTATTCTAGACACACATGGTAATTCGTAAACGTGTTGAAAGTTCAATTCTCCCTTCAGCTGATTATACACAAGCAGTGAATGCTTTTGATAAAACCTTAGATCAACATATTCAAATGCCTGAACCGAATGAAATAATCAAATCTAAAGTACAAACTTATATGAATTCAGCAAATGGTGAAGCAATTCGTTTAGGATCATCGTCATCATCACCGGATGGGTGTAAATTAAAATCGAATGGACCAATAAAAAATTATCAATCATCATCACCATCAACTTCATCATCGACAAAACTGCACACTTATAAACTACAAAATGGTCATCAACAACAGTCTAGTCATGATCAACAAGAATCAAGTCTAATGAAAAAATGTGCTGTCGCTTTAACAGCAACCTCTGTCTTCATTTTCATTGGTATCATTGTTATCCTTGAAACAACACCGGCTGCATCAAATCAAACGAATGAGAATTTCATTTACAGTGCTGTTCGATATAATTCACTGATGACTAGCTTTCAAGAATATGTCTACACTCCACTGCGTAGAAGTATTACAGATGGATTCAGTGCTGTTGTCTCTTATATTAATCCATAAATTTATTGAAACAATGAAATAGAACAACATTAATATTCTTACTATTCCTATTCTTCTTCTTATTATTATTATTAATACTTCTTTCCATATATTCATTCTTAGTTTTTTTCTCTATTTCTGTTTGTGTATGTGTGTGTTTGTATGTATATGTGTGCGTGTGGGTGCGCGTGTTCTGCCTTCTTCTTCTTCTATTGATGAAACAGTCGTCTATAATGTGTCATCATTGTTTATTTATTTTGATATCACACCTCTTCGCATTGTCACATTCCATACACCTAAATGTGTGTTTTGTCCGCGTTTTTTTTTGTCCCTTGTTCTGTTCTCTTCTGTGATTTTGTATGTGGAGAGTTAATTAATGCGCCTGCGTCTACACCTGAGCCTGATAACTTCCTCGCTTACTCACAATCTCTTCTTCTTTTATTTGTCCACACTCCTTATCATCATCATCATCACACTTTTTACCCTTTGATAAATATAAATGCGCCATTTTAAAACTTAAAAAATCCAGTTTATCCTTCTGTCTCTCCAAATCTTCTTATTGACATTTCTGGACAATAATAATAATAATAATAAACATATATCGTAATATAGAGTACACTTGAACAAAGGAGTATTCATGTTGATCAATATTCTCATTCTCTCATCTTTTTTTTCAATCCTCTCTTGGGATCATCAATTTTTTCTGTCTTTCCCCTCCTCTCTTTTGGGATAATTATGAGCAAATGGATCCATCTATTTGATAATAAATGAGAAAGGGAGAAATCAGAAGACAAGAATACAAATTCATGAAAACTATGCTTGATTATATATATTTAGTATTGTCTGACACATATATCGTATAAATAATAAAGTAACTAACTAACTACCCTACTACATTGTTGTTGGTATAAGTAAGTAAGTAAGTTTACGCTGAAGGAATTGTGAAATTTTTCAAACTGCTAACATATATGTATGTATAACTGCTTCTACCTGACTATTCACTTCATCGTACAACAAAAACAACACCAAGAACATTAGCAACTACTCCTACTACTGTTTACCTCTCCTAAATTTGACAAGTAAATTTCGAAAAATACTATTATTATTATTATCCCTAAACATATATTTTTTGTCATTATTTTATCTAACTACTTAATAAATGGATATAAGTAGTAGTAGCGGTAGTATATTAGCGGTGGTTAATAAGGAAATTAATTGTTGTAATACCGTAGTTGGCAATAAAAAAAAGAAAAGAAAAGTTTTATATGAAATAGAAGTACACAGCTAGAAATGTACCTCTTCAATAGTGTTGTCTTTTTTTATTTTTGGTTTTTGTTCTTCATTCATGTAAGTGATAATTTCGCGCCTTTATTTTCTTTCTTATTTAATGATATATACATATACATAATACATGTTGATTAGATTAGATTGGATTGATTGACTGATTGATTTTGGCTTGTTTTCTAGTCTTCTTCAAGATAGATGCACTTGTTCAGCTTAGTCTGTATTGTGTGTTATTCCACGGATAGTGGGAAAGAGTACAAGCGTGCATATTTACATATATACATGTTTATAATGAGTAAAGTTCATTTCTTCGACCACTTCTTTTTTGTTGTCTTTTGTTTTTATGAGGAACAGTCAAAGAAAATGTGATATATACATATGCTATGCATGAATACAGAAAAGATATAATATAGTATAATATAATATAATCTAATATGCTTATATTGTATTATACAATACAATGTTGTGTTTCTACTTTAACCGTCTTTCTGTGTGTATCGAATTCTCTCTATACATTTCGAAACTGTTTGTTATATTTTTCTCCCCCTTTTTTGTACTTTTCTGTCTCTATGGTTAAAATTTTCCCAAATTTTGTACTTGTTTTTTCTTCTTTTTTGCTTTCATTTTGTCATTGTCATATCTCGTTCTGAATACTGATTGATTTCGCGTTATAAAACATCATACTATTCACCATGCTGTTGCTGTTGTTGTTCGTATTTTGGTTTTCGTAGCTTTTTTTTTCTGGTTTTCTTGTTAGTTTTGTGTGTTCCATCTACACACCCTGTGTACTTGTCATTGAGTGCTTATTGCTTACATTTTATTGTATGTATTACTAATACCATGAAATATATGAGTGTCTAGAGTGTAATGATATTACTGCTGTGTACATCCACACACACAAACACGCTGTCTGTTGTGTTGAACTGTGCTTCTTCTTCTCATGTTCACGAAAAATTTCACATTTCATTTCGGATCATATATTTATTGTATTTCACGGAGTAATACTGTCCCTCTTTCTCTGTCACCGTCTCTTCACAGCCACCTCGTGTGAATGTAACACATTTTGTCTTTCTATCTGTGTTTTGTGATTTTGTTGGTTTCCATAGTCTATCTGTCTCTTTTCGTCTCTCTGTGTCTAGAAGAAGGTTGTATATCGCCTAAAGATTATTACTTAAGGATGGTAAATTAAATTTGCCCAGAAATGTTATGATATTCTTTCTCATCACAGCCCATTTTACACTTTGATCAGATTGCCTACTTATAAGGGGATAAGTAGTAATAGTAGTACTTGTTGTTGTAGTAGTGGAGTAGTCGAGTAATCCGTCATTAGATTTAAACTGAGTCTTTCTATTCTGTTGTTGTTATTTGTCTTCTTCTTTTTTCTATATACATACAGGTTATATGTGTGATTTATTTCCTCGACGTGCATACACGCACACACACCTGTATACATTACATACATGCATCCATCTATATATATATGTATGGTAATTAATAAATAATTAAATAAATATTATAATATCCGGTTTATTGTGTGTGTTCGAGTGTTATTTACAGTCTCTTTTTGCTTCTCTGATGGGTGGGTGGTGATGACTAAGTTGGGTGAGGTGTAAAAGCTATCGCGAACCAAACTTATGTACGTATTTTTTATAGTTTGGTTTGTAAGAGTTACTTATGTTTTTTACGAGTTGATCACGGACGACTGATATCAGTTAGAGAACCATTACAAACTAAACTATGGAAAATTAATCTGATGCTCGCTAGTGACTTGCTACAGGTTGGAGTTTCCTGGAGTCAGTTCTAGTGAGAATTCGTGACCAGTGAGGTCCAATTAGATGTCATGTCTGTGGATGGATGTCTCACCAACGACAATGGTTGGGGTCGCGCTAAATCACGAATTAGTGGAAGTTAGAATTCATCAACCATTAAATCGGGTCCCAGTGGTTGAATGGTAAACGGAAGGACCTGGGTTCGAATCCCAGTGTGTGCGTACTGCCGGTGATTACCAAATTATGTATGTATGTATGTAGATGACACATTTTTCGAACACATCAAGTCGAAGGTAGAGGCAATTCATCAATTCACTTATGATGAATTGGAAAGTCAGGAAGCTGGGGAGCTTCCAATGTTAGATTGCAATGTAAAAAAGAAAGAAGATGGGAAGTTGAACACACTAGTGTGTGTGTGTTTACAGGAAACCCACATATTCAAACAGATATTTGGACTTCTGATCATCCCATCCTATGTCAGTAAAAATAGGATTGGTGAAATGTTTAAGTGACAGAACACGGAAACTAAGTAGTACCAAGGCAAATCTAAGACAGGAAGTGATACTCTTAAAAGAAGCCTTGAAACTTAATAATTATCCGGATAAATTAGTCAGGAAATATGTAAGGAAATGTAAAAATAAAATAAATAATGATAGTAGCGATAGTGATATTAATAATAATATTAATGACGACACTAACAATAAGGAATCTAAATCATCAGTAGTAATTCCATACAAGGAAGGAACCTCGGAAACCACGTTACGCAGAATTCTTAACAAGGCAGGAATAAAAGTGGCTGGCATTCAAATCAACCACAAATTCTATTATAAACAAGCTATGTCGGTTAAAGGTTCAATCCTGTGGAGCCTTTAAAACAAAACAATTTAGTTTATCTAATACCATGCCTGCAATGATTGTCAGGTCAAATACATAGGTCAAACTAGTAGGACAGGGTCAGTCAGACTAGCTGAACATAAAAACCTAGCTAAATCTAGATTGGTTGACCCGAATAAGATAAGAAATCTGGAGAATAATTCAGCTACACCACTCACTACATGCAATTACACACAACCATACAATGGCCAAGTTCAACACTCAAAAGCTGAAGGACCAGACTACAAAGGACATCTTCATTGCAAGCATAAAGGACAAAGCCGAGACACAAATCAACACCAGCGAAGAGGTCGGCGTCGAAAAGCATTGGGGCAAATTGAAGACGGTGTGGAGTCAAACCTGCATGGAAGTTCTGGGCAGAAAGAAGAGGCAGGACAAACAGTGGCTCACTACGGACACTTGGAAACTAATAGAAGAGAGAAAGAACAGTGAAACAAAAGATTATCCAGTGCACTGATAAGCAGCAAAAACAGGAGTTGAATGCAAGCTACAATACACTGAACAAAAGAGTAAAAAAAAGTGCCAGGGTAGACAAAAGAAAATATTATGAAACCATGTGAAGTGAAGCAGAATAAGCTGCAGGCAAAAGAGACCTCGCCACACTCTACCAAACAACTAGGCACCTTTCGGGCAAAAGTTCGACACACACTAAGCCAGTAAAGGATGACAATGGAAAGTCAATCACCAAAGAGGTGGAACAGAGAAAACACTGGGCTGAACATTTCAAAAGACTTCTAAATCGTCCGCCACCTACAACGCGCCCAACAATACCAACAACGGAAGCAGAACTACCAGTGAACATCGACCCTCCGATGAAATCAGAGGCCCTGAATGCAATCAAGATGCTAAAAGTTGGAAAAGCAGCAGGACCAGATGGAATCCCAGCAGAAGCATTGAAAATGGACCCAGAGACAACAGAGGACTTGATGACACCACTACTGGAGAAGGTGTGGAAAGAGGGCAAAGTACCCGAGGATTGGAAGAACGGATACTTATTCAAACTTCCGAAGAAAGGAGACTTAAGTCAATGTAAAAACTGGTGTGGAATTATGCTTCTGTCCATTCCAAGCAAGA